GGGCGTTACAGTTTATGAAGCTCGATGCCCGCTACACGATCAGAACTGACGACAGTCACTACCTGTACATCCAAGCCAAGGGAGTTTTCAGCAATGGACCGGGGCGGCCAGGCCCCTTGGTCGGTCCGGCCGCTCCTCCTCTGGTAAACCTGACGCAAGACCAAGTGGAGTGGTTTACTCATATCAACATCGAGGCAGGCCCTGGGCCGTACCACTGGCTGAACTCGATTCTGGCGGTTGGGGTGTTGGCAATGCATGAGAAAAGATCATCATCGATGCCTATCTGTTGACGAATTTCCCGGGCTTGCCGCCCCGTGATGTTGCTGCTGCTTAGGCTTTTCGGCCCAAAACAAAAGATTACTTCGGGTGGTGTGTTCAAGGCTACGAACAAGCGCAAACGTACAGCTCTAGAGACTTCATCTATCCGTACATATTGCATTTCCTATACTGCGACAGCGAGCTAAGCCTGTTTGTGACATCAACCCGTACATGTGCCGTACATGGCAATCTACAACATGTTCTGTTGTTTAGCCAGCTTCGCGTACCTCGGCGCCGTCCACCTGCGAATTCTCTTCCCAAAAACGATGAAAAATACTGCAATCGCGGTGATGGCAGCGCTCAAGCAGCCCACGAAGATGAACGTGTTCTGAAGCCCCATCCCATCTATCCAGGGCTGGATGCCCCACGTAATGCCGAAGCCTACAACATTCCGGATGAGTATAATGGTCGTAACAGCTTGTCCGTCAATCTCCTTGTAGCAGTCGAGAATGTACGCCATGGTGACGGTACCACCGACTGAAAGCCCGAAGCCGACAAGGCCCATGCCAACAACGGGCGCGATCCAAGGCAGGCCGTGCGCGGCTGTGATGCCGTAAATCATGAGACCGGCCGGCATGATCAGGATGTCTGGGATGAAAGCCCAGAGGCGGAATTCAGGCTCGTGAAATCCTCGGTTGCGGTTGGCAAGGAGGAGCGTGAAACGGTCATTTAGTGGGCCGGAGAAACATGCTCTGTTCAGGTTCAGCTCAGCATACAAGGAGATAGTGGGAAGGAAAGACTGACCCAAAGAGGGAGCCAATCATGGGTGATATCCAGACTAGGCCGATGGCGTCGTTCGTGAAGAGGTAGGGTGGGGAGCGAAGATTTCTGCGACTGTGGTGCCCATGACAGCTAGCCAGCTGACGCAGGTGCCGTAGTTGATCCCGCACTGGATACATTAGCATCCGTATGCGGCCGTGTCGTTGACTGACTTACCCAGAGAACAGCAGGAAGTGTAGCGACCCTCAACGGCCTCCAGAATTCTTGAGCGACTTCGGTCCAGCTTTCTGGGAATAGCTGATACAGACTGTATTGAATCTTGAACCCGGCTGCATCAAAGACCTGGCCGACCTTTGGCCCATTGCTTGCTGTCATCCGCATGTCGGTCTCGTCGACATCGGGATCAGCCTTCTTTGGCACTGCAAGGGTCCTGCTGTTCGTATCATGGCCACCAAGTACTTCTGTCCCAACCGGCATAGCGTTCAGCTGTGTCGCTTCATGCAGATCCGCCGACCGGACGAAGCGACTTTCCTCGAACGTGAAGAAGAAAGCCACCAACAGGGCGGCGGTCAAGATACACCCCCACCGGTATATCCACCGCCATCCTTGGTTGACCGCCATGTATCCCGCACAGATGGGTCCGATGAACGAACCGAAAGCGAGACCAAAGACGTATATGCCGAGTTTGCCTCCACGCTCGTGCGTAAAGTAGATGTCCGAGATCGAGATGGCAACAAGTGCTTCGAAAGGTGCGGCACCGAGGCCGAGGAGGACGTGCGCTCCCTGATAATCACCAATATGTCTGGAGAAGACCATCCAGATCTGGGATACGAGGACGAGCAGAAGAGTCCAGACGTAGATTGCGCGTCTGCCGAGTTCTGTGATACAGACTATTTGTTAGCTCGCCGCGAACTGCATACGTTGGAACGAAGGTGTTTCCTTACTGTTTGAACTAGGCACGAAAAAGATGTTGCCGACTCCCAGCATCAGCAAGCAGACCGCTTGTCCAATATTCAATTGGCTAATATCGATGTTGTACACCGCCGCCAAATCCAAGTAAATGACGGATTCCCAGTTCGTGAGGGCTCCTAGCAGAGCGCTGTAGCATGTCAGGAGGAATAGGTGGTATGCCTTTCTCCGTGCCGACCATTTCTGGTACGATAACACGGTCAGAAGAAGCCCGCTATGAAGTGAATGCTAATGTACTTACAAGAGGATCATTGATGTCTGAGGATGGCGTGGGTACCAGGATAATGTCTTCATGCGAGAAGCCAGCTTGATGCGTTCCTTGAACTATGGTTCCTTGAAGGACTATGTACACAGTTCCAGGAACAATATCGTAGTCGGGCACATCCTGAGGTTCGATGAAACTCATGATGTTTGATGGTGGCGATGTGGTTGAGCGTGCTCAGGAGTGAGCTTCCAACGCCTCCTTCGGCCTTCCTTTAAGTTGGCGATGCCGCAGCCCTGCAGTCCAGCATGCCTCGCCACAAGCCCTCACTGCCGGTATCTCTGGTTCCGCGCTGGGGGAACCTGTTCCGCATACCAGCTGTTACAGCGCGATACGTACTATCCCTACCATTGGTTCTGAAAGTCGTGTCAGTGTGCGAAGGTTGAATCCGTTCATGATCTTCCCCATGTAGGCTAACCGCTTTCGGCCGGCCGCTTTTTAGATCATCTGTCGAAAGATTGTGGCTTGCCAAGTCGCGCCAGTTGGACGGTCCTTTCTGCGGGGAAGTGCGTGGTAGTGCATAAGTTGTCCACAGCTGGAACAAGCTGTTAGAAACCGGACGTCTTCGCCCGGTCACTTTTTCTATTCGCGTGATGTCTGTTCGAACAATGCGCGATATTCAGCTGACGGACAAGCCAGTGCTAGCGGAATATGGCCAGATCGACGCTAGGAGGGCATTGCCTATTTGGTCTTGCCGCTCCGTATCTGCCGCATGATATTCGTAGGCTTTTCCGGCCGTCTTGTTCCTCTTTTCTTCATGTTCCTTGTTACACTCTTAAAAAGACGACACAGATCAGGAATATAACCACATTGATCACAGCCCGCTATGACCGTCGATAATACATACCTGGAGGTAGCTCGCCTTAAGCAAGAAGAGCGTGAGCTGCTCATCAGAGACGAATGGCGCTTGGAAGACTTCGAGGTCAAAGGGACCAATGTGCTGCATGTCCCGACCTCGTGTGGTATTCTTACGGAGCGTGAAATCAGCATAACGTCTGACAATGATGCATTTGACATCGTCGTCAAGATCCGGAATGACGGATATAGCTGCGAGGAGGTGACCCTTGCATTCTGCAAGCGCGCGGCCATTGCACAGCAATTGGTAAACCCGCCGAGCGTGGATGACACGAGGAAGTCGAGCTGAAACGATACAGACCAATTGCCTGACCGAGATTTTCTTCGAGGAAGCGATCGAGAGGGCACGTGAACTCGACAAACAGAAGGCTGCGGACCCAGACAATCTGCCACCACTCTTTGGCCTTCCCATCTCCCTCAAGGACAGCTTCAACATTCCCGGGAAAGACTCGACAATTGGCCTGATCTGCTTCGCGCATCGACCTGCAACGGAATATTCAGCCCTTCCATCCCTACTTCTGAGCCTCGGTGCAGTACTGTATTGCAAGACCAACGTCCCTCAGACAATGATGACCGCGGACTCTGACAACAATGTTTTTGGTCGAACGCTGAACCCGAACAACCTCAACTTAACAGCCGGAGGTTCCACGGGAGGAGAAGGCGCGCTTATCGCTCTCCGAGGGAGCGTGGCTGGCTTTGGCACAGATATCGCTGGCAGTATTCGCATCCCAAGTGCCTGCAACGGTATCTATGGATTCCGGCCGAGTGCTGACATTGTGCCATATGGCGGTCAGCAGGAACCAGCTCCGGAGGGTGTTGCTGGCATAGCGCCTGTCGCGGGCCCGATGGCTACTTCTCTCCGCTCGGTGTCTTTCTTGCTTCAGTCGGTCATGCATGCCCAGCCATGGAGGTTCGACTCAAGCTGTCTGCATATGCCGTGGCTTAGCAATGCCCTACCCGGCAATCAGCGCCTCAAGGTCGGCTTGGTTTCCGACGATGGCCTGTGTACACCAACACCGCCTGTACGCCGCACTTTGTCTGAAAGCGCGCGCAAGCTGGGGATGCGGGCGTTGGAGTCGTCGACCTCAAGCTTCCGGACGTCGCAGAGGCCATCGATACAGCACTTCAGATGTTCGGGCTGGACGGTTCTGAGGTGAGGTTATAGAGTCCGGTATTGGGTTCTGTCAGTATGGATCACAATTGACCATGGGTTTTTGCAGTTCGTCCAAGCGCTTATAAAATCCGGCAAAGAACCGCTAGTTGAATCGGTCAAGAAGGTAGACCTTGCCGCCATTCCTGCCGCAAGTATGGAAACTTACTTCCAACTCAACGCGGCCCGGCACAGGATACAGGAGGTGTATCGCAAGCTTTGGATAGAGAACGGGTTGGATGCGCTTATCATGCCGCCAGCGCCGCACACAGCCGTACCTTTTGACACTTGGGGTCCGATCACTTACACAACGCTCTGGAACCTACTCGACTATCCTGCGGTGATCATTCCGACGGGCAAGGTGCAGCCTTCAGACGCTGCTGACAGTATCGACAACGCAAAGTATGGAGAACAGGATGCTGCAATGTACCGGTTGTGTAAGTACTCGGGCGATCGGCCGCGGAACACAACACTGACGGGCACAGATACGGGCCCCGAAGAATACAAAGACGCTCCACTGACACTGCAGCTTGTGGGAATGAGACAGGAGGACGAGAAGCTGGCCCGGGTTGCTGCAGTTGTGGATGGTGTTTTGAACACGTGAGGGTGTTTATGCTGCTGGACTATCGCGGCGGGAGTACAACTTGAAGGGCGGAGGTCCTCCTCACTCTAGTTAAATTCCTCCACGAAAATCTTTCAAAGCGATAGTACTGTAACTGGCAAAAGTGCATCAGCTGTGAATCGAGCACGGGGCCCGGTGGCATCTCATGGGTTCAAGTTTCTCGAGATTCGGTCCCTCGAGTTGGAGGGCAGGATGGCAACGATGGATATTTTACCACTAAACCCACTGATGCTGAGAAGCAACGTTCAACATCTTGGATTCCCGCATGGTCATCCACTGCAGTACTGACGAGACGGTCGACTGATTAAGTTCAGGAGAGCGGACGGGATCCTCTGCTTTCAGCCGCCTATGGTCGAACGTGCTTGGTCTGGTTGCAGTTAAAGCTTTCCGGGTGGATAGTGGCTGCATCGTATCCGGTGCAGGGCTAGCAAGAGAGGCCTGTTCCCCAATCGAGTCGTATCATGGCAGACATGAGCGAGATGACAATGGTCGAAAACGTCTGTCCGAACGCGGCTCGTTGGGAGGGTTCTGTGTGGTCGAGGAAAGCTCATCCGCCGTGTAACGTGGATACGAAAACGATGTTGTCACCGTCCTGGATCTCGTACTTGTCTTCGCCTTCGAGTTCCCAATCCGCGTCATTTATCAGAACCAGGATTCCGGGTCGCCTGGGGTACATCAGCAACCATCGAACCAACGCCCGCAACTAGAAGGTTGGAGCAGGAGGGGGAAGGGGGCGCGACAGGAGGAGCACTACTCACACAGACTCGTCGAGGACGAAGAGCTCCTTTTTCTGATTCTTGCCCATGACTTTCTCGCACAAATGGTGGATAAGATAGGCGACATTGACGGGGTTTCCGGATGTGTCTTTGGAGGGGAGAGCGATCTTGTGGTCACGTTGATTGGAGAAGAGGAGTTCTAATCCACCGCTGGGTAAGATTAGTTGCAGATGTCGGTGAGAGGTCGGAGGCCGGGATGGAGGCTCACGTGAACTCGACGACAACGTTGATGGCACCAGGCATGCTTGCTGGAGAAACCGTATCCGCAAGAGAGTCTGGAATTGCGTTTGTCCGGCGCGACTAAGCATAGAGGAAGCGAATTGGAGGGGCAGCGATGTTCACGTGTCGCGTTGTATTTTCCAAGAAGAGAAGTGGGGTTTGGGGTCAAACAAAGCAAAGCAAAGCAAAGCAAAGCGGATGCGGAGAAAGTCGCGCCGAGAGTTGCACCGTCACCGCACCTTCCCCGAGAGGAGAGAAGCGGAGATCCAACAAGTCTTATCAACGGCTACCGCAACCGGCCAACATGCAGCACACCCTCTGTCGAGATAAGGCAGCTAAGCGCGCTCCGTTGCAGATAAGCCATCACAATCCGCTGTCGAGGTCGATCGTGCACGGCACTGCGCCTATGGGCCCTACGGCAGGCTAGGCGACAGGCCAGGCGACAGGCCGGTAGCACTCTAGCACTCTAACCAACTGCTCCAGCGCACCCATTCGTTGTAGTCATCCGCCGTCGTGGCAGTGTCACATGCCTACCCTACACTACACCACCACTACCACCACCACCCAACGACTTACTCTTGCTCTTACCCGATAAGTCACAGTATATTCCTTTTGCTCCTCCTTCCACGTCTTCTCTTGTCTTGTCTTCTCTTCTCTCTTCGTACTAGTGATATACAAACTTCCTACTGTCTTCTACCAACCCTCGTTGATAAGGGAACCCCGCCGACCGCTCCTCCTCCTCCTCCTCCTCCTCCTCTTCTTCTTCCTCCTCCTCCTCCTCCTCCTCCTCCTCACCCTCCCCTCCTCCAAGCCAGCCGTGACTCGACTATGTCATGGCGTGCAGGCATAGAAGCCTTCAAGCCCGCTCTGCCCCAACACTGTGAGCCAGCAACCGACTTCCTCTACCGCTTCTCCTCTACCTTCCATGTCTGCGTTCCTACCAATCTCGCCTTCATATCGACCACTCTCGGCACACTGTCCATCGTATCATGGCTGTTCGCCCAGCTGCCCCAGATCTACAAGAACTACAGCATCAAGAGCACGTCTGGCTTATCGATATACTTCCTGGTAGAGTGGTGTCTGGGTGATCTCAGCAATTTGCTCGGAGCCATACTCACCCATCAGGCGACATGGCAGATGATCGTAGCGGGATACTACTGCTTCGTTGATCTCATGCTGGTCGCTCAGTGGCTTTGGTACGAACATCTCCAACACGGCCACCACCTGCGTCGTGTCTGGCCGAGGAAGAGTAGACCTGCGGGTGACGGTGAGGGTGGTATGCAGCAGGTGGTGATCGAGGGTATGCCACCGCTCAGCCGGAGCAGCTCAGCCCCCGGCTCCACTCCTGCTCCGGACAAGCAGAGCGGCACACCACAAACACCAGCCAAGGACATCAAAGCGTTCAACTTCAAGCGCTCCAACACGCAGCCGGATTGGCGCACGCCGGACTTTGAGAAGCCGCGCGAAGACAGGTCGACGCGTCCGCAGATCCACCGCATCCAGCCATCCTCCTCAATCCCCTCACCCTCACCACGCACCGTAATCTTCCTCGCCTGTCTCATCTCGCTCGCCACCGCGTCTCCCTCCATCCTCCTCCTCCCACCACCAGCACCCCAACCACCACCACAACCACGCAAGCCAACCCCCTCTCAACCGCCGGCACCATCCTCTCCTGGGCCTCAACAGCCCTCTACCTCCTCTCCCGCCTCCCCCAACTCTACAAAAACTACCGCCGCCGCTCCACCTCGGGCCTCTCGCCCCACCTCTTCCTGGCCGCCTTCTTCGGCAACCTCTTCTACAGTTCCTCCATCCTGACCAACCCGAACGCCTGGCTCGACGCCCCGCCCCACGGCAACGGCGGCTGGGCGGGCGCGGACGGGAACGCGCGTCCCGACTGGATCGCGCGCGCTACGCCCTTCTTCCTCGGCGCCGCCGGGGCCTTGGCCTTGGACGCCGGCATGGGATTGCAATTCTTGATGTACGGAGAGGCGAGGCCCGTCGCGGTCGTGGACGAGGACGAGTTGGGCGAGGGGAGGTGGAGGTGGAGGAGGGTGAGTGGCTGGATGAGGGGTGGGTGCCCAGTTTCAGTGGGGCCGTGGTGGTGACTGAGGGGAGAGGGAGGGGTTGTTGCGCGCGGAGAGGGTCCCGGAGGGAGGCGCTTACGGGACCGCTAGTGCGAGACCTTAGATGACGTGGATTGTGTGTGATGTGTGAGTTTTGAGCGGCATTGCGAGGGCAGGGAGAAGTGATAGATTGCATGTTCTGGATTTGCATGATGTTGATGATTCTACGATCACACGGATGGGACACAGGTGGTGTTAGAGGGTGTTTAGATGTCATTTGCTGGCGGGTTTTATCTGCATGGAGTGTATGGTTGCGGGTTTGCGAGATGCATTTTTATACATAAATGAGTACATTGAGTTGCTTGCCTAATATCACGCCATTCCACAACCGGGGGTTGTCGTACCGCACGCAAAGGGGCACCTGAGACTGCCCGAAGAACGCCCCGATTCCATCAACAGAGGTACCCGCCATTCCTTTCCTTTCACGTTGTCGAAAGCTTTAGACCCTGAGCTTGACATCCCCTGATGTGACACCGATCTCCCTGCCTGGAAGACCACGGTACGCAGGCGGCGCCGTCGCAGTGTTCGAGCCAGTTGACGCGAGTGCCGCACCAGACGAGGATGGTCCAGCACTGCTGTTGCTGCTGCTGCTCTCCTGGTACGAGGGCAACACTTCCACGGGCGTTCTGCTGCTGCCAACCGGACGGACCTGCATTTCGCCCCGTTGCAGGCCACCTCGCTGGGCCGCATGCTCCCAAGGCAGGACTTCGAACCCGAGCTTGGGTCCCTCGACGCTGAACAGTTGGCCCGATTCCTGATGCCGGATGGAAGCCGTGATCTTGAGTCTGTGAGCGTGCGCGACTATGTAAGAAGAAAAGTCGGGCACGATGCCGGAGTCGGTTTGATTCATGGATGCCAGCGTGAAGTCCTGCGTCACAACGACGGGCGTGTTGTCCAGGGGCAGCCGGAGTACGTGTGCGTTGAGCCGCGCGGGTAAGTTCTTACTGGGAGTCGTCGCGGCTGGAGATGACGGCGAGGGATGGAGCGTCTTCGTCGCTACAACAGATGAGGTGCATTCACCACGCCCGCTTACCAACGCCTTTACACGAATGTGACTGTAACTTTTCAGCTGTAAATCCACTTGTTCGAGCACCAGCGTCGGCTCTGCAGGATCGTTCGGTGTTTCGAGGATGTGCTTTAGTGATAGGGATATCGGCAGTGGGGTCCAGGGCTCTGCGCGAGCGGGAATCTGAACGGAGCAGAGGAACTTGATTACCGGAGTCGCGAGCGATGGATCCGAAGTGAAGACGTGTGCGAGCTTCTGCTTGAATGTATGTTGTTCCGGACGCAGGGAACTGCTGCTCCAGCGGGTAAAGTCGAGCGGGTGAACGATGGGTACGGGAGCAACAGGGGCTCGCGTGTGGTGGAGACAACGTCCAAAGCAAGCTTTTGGAATCGGAATGGAGCAAACGATCCGGATTTATCTTTACTTTCAATGTATATTCGATTTTTCCTTTGGCACGTCCTGAACCGTTCCGCACCGCAATCGTTGGCGGAAGAGGGTGTGGCTCGTTCTCGTACGTGGGGTCGCCGACGCCATTGCTGCGTGTGAACTGCGTGTATTCTGGAAAAGTAAGAGAGAAAGGCCAGGACATAGTTTGTGGTTGGATGGTGTAGGATCCTGAGTAGAGGGTTTGCTGGGACCGGAACAGCTCGATCTTTTCGGTATGGCGACGGCGCGACTCGCCAGCGCCACGGACGATCTCGGCGGACATCTTGCCTTTGAGGATTACGACGACACCATCAAGAGTCTCTTGCGAAGGTATCCGGTAGGTTAAGACTCCAGAGATCGTATCTCCGCCGCGATAGTACGGCTTTCGGCCGCCATCGAAGATGATGTTTATCACGCCCATAGCGATATTAGGTGCTGGTTGTTCGTGAGTGTCCTTTCTTTGTATGAGTGCACGAAAGAGAACAGTTTGAGACAGGTAGGAGGTTAGTAAGGATAGATTCTTAGGTGAGAGCTCAAGGCATGTTATATAAGGTGCCTGTAGATAGAAAGTCTGAGGTAAAGAGATGTGATCTGCCTGAGGCGCAGCTTGAAGCGTGGCTTAGTCTCCTTGAGCGAGCATCCTTCGGCCCAGCTCTGCGTCACTCAAGGACATACTTGCCTG